TGTCGGGGTAGGCTGGTGTGCTTCTTCCTTGTGGGTTTTGTTGTTTCTTAGCTAGATGGCCGCCTGTTTGTCTTCAAGCCTTTAAGACTCCAGATGCTGTATCATTTAATAGCCGGGCACCATCTGCTTTCTTCACCACTTTTGCTAATGCACCCCCTATGTCCTCAGCGATCGAGTAGGGGTAGGCTGGTGTGCTTCTTCCGTGTGGGTTTTGTTGTCTCTCAGCTAGATGGTGCTTGTTTATCTTCAGGTCTTTAAGGCTTCAAGTGCTATGTCTTTTGGTAGCTGGGCACCATCAGCTTTCTTCACCACACTTGCTTGTGCACCCATTGTCTTCAGTGACTTCAGGCGTTATATCTTTTGGTAGCCAAGCATCATCTGATTTCTTCACCACATTTTCTTGTGCACCCATTGTCCTCAGTGATCTTGCCAGGCAGGGGAGCATCTCAGACTGCCGAATTGTTAGAACAAAGTGTTCTTGTGTTGGGGGAGTACTTGTGCAGGGGCCCACTGTCCATCTGTTTTCTTAATACTTGACCTATAAATATATGTACATAGATCTATTTCCCCCTCATCCTATATAAGTATATTTACATCTTTATATGCCTGTATTTACATCTCTATGACTACCCTTTGCCTCCTAGTTCTTTCCTCTGTTTCTTTGTACTTTCCTCTTGTCCCACTATCATGTTCTGCCTTCATTTGGGTTTTAGGCAGAAATATGCATTCTTATTATCTGCATTTTACAAGTGATAAAGCTTTCGTACAGAAAGATAAATAATTTTCCAAAGGTCATGCAGCTAGCAAATGGTAGAACTAGGACTTGAACTCAGTCTAATTCTATTATCTACACTCTTCACCACTCAGCTATTACTTCTTACAACCTGTATACCAAGGAGCCCAGGTAGCACAGTATGCAATGCCCTTGAGCTATTAACTACAGGGTCCTCAGTTTGCTCCCACCAATTGCGTCACAAGAGAAAGTTGAGGCTGTCTAGTCTTGTAAAGATTTAAAGTCTCAGTAACCCAAGGGGGCAATGCCGTATATGAGTCGCTATGAGTTGAGTTTTACTCCATGGCAGTAAGTTTGAAGAGAAGTATACTTCCGACAGCGAAATATTGGGTAACTCCCATGAAGACTTGTAAATTTCAGGTTAATCATCACAATTCATAAGATTAAGAGCAAAAACAATGAATAAAGACTTCTATGAAGTTCTCAGAAGAAAAAAAAGACAATTCCCTGTATACTGTTCCATGACACCAACAAAAGGCAGTGCTGGCCTCCTTCTTTATTAAACACAGAGAAAGCCATGGAAATGAGACGGTGTGGAAAGGGACATTTAAGCATTCAGTCAACAAATATTTTTTAAGGATCTACAATATGACACGCCTTATTCTAGATGCAAGGTATTCAGATGTTTGACCCAAAGGGGCACATTTGGCTTTTTCTGAGTTGAAAACAAATCCTATTGTAGATTTCTCCCTTGATCCTGTTTTCAGTTCCACAAATTTAGCCATTTATTATTTCCAAGCCTCGTTTTACCTCTGGCTACAACAAGTGGTGGTTAGAGGGGAAAGTAATGCATGAGGAGAGAAAGGAGACTTACAGAGAAGTCTACAGAAATTTCTCATGCATGCTCTTTTGTTCTAGTAGCAAAAGTTCTAGGTCATATACTGGTAACTCAGTATACGGGTAACTTTCAGGATCATGAACTGTCAAGGCTAGACCTAGAAAATGCTAGGCAATACATAAGTGGCATCAGTGTGCAGGAGATGAGGAAGCTTAAAAAAAGAGTAAACTTTCCTTTTAAATTTAAAAATACCTTCAAATAATCTACGTTGACTGCCTTGGATAAGCAACAGAATTAAGTTAAACTGATCCATACCATTGTTTGACTGGTAAATTAAAAGTAATTTCTTGCCAGTGTCTCTGAGCTTCATAATCACCAAACATGGGGGATTTTCCAGCACCTACGGTGAAAGGTGAAAAGAGTAAGACAACATACTGTAGCATATCAGTGATTTTGCTTTCCCTGTGAAAATTGTCTAAACCATAGAGGCAGGATAATGAAGAAAACCATGACCACCCACGCCCATGGAGTCCATTCCAACTCATTATGACCTTCATGGGGTTGCTGAGGCTGAAAGTTTTTAGGGAAGGCAGACAGCCTCATCTTTCTCCCAAGGAGCTGGCTGGTTGGTTTGAACTGCTCACCTTGAGGTTAGCAGTCCAACGCTTACCCAATAGTGCCACCAGAGGTCATACAGGTTGAAAACCCAGAAGAAACGAACCAAAAACTTTATAGTTAGAGAAGAGAAGTGAATCCTTGCACCACTACTTAGTGACCATGTGTCCTTGGGTAAATTACTGAACCTCCCTTAGCCTCAACACATTCACAACACAATCAATACTACTGATCTAGAAGACTGGTTGCATAAATTAAACAACTGAAATAAAATACCCAGTACAATACCTGGCACGCAGTAAACATACACTCTATCAGAGCTCTTATTAATATGAATTTGTTCATAATACTAAAGTATCTGAATTTATTTTTAGTTCATGGGTGTCTCAACTATCAAGTCAAATAAGTATAAAAATAACAAAAATGATTATCATTTACAAAGGGCTCTGATAAGCTAAATATAAAAGACATAAAGTCAAGTACAGAACCCAAAACAGACTAGTATAGGTTACAATGGCATTAGATCAGGTTTTGTTGTCAAACTGGTTATTTAAAAAACAAACAGTCATTTTTCCAGTTGGTGCAAAAGTAATATGCTCTTGGGAAGAGAATGTTTTGAAAATGATGATGGCAGCATATGTGCAAATATGCTTGACATACTGGATGAATGTATGGATTGTGATAAGAAATGTAAGAACCCCCAATAAAAGTATTTAAAATAATTAATATGCTCTACTAACTGAATGGTTTGGAATTTTTTATTATAAAGTTGTTTTTAAATTTTAAATTTGCAAATAAGAGCTAATAGGTCTATAGTGGTTAACAGTGATAGTGCCGACTAGGTGCCACCAGCCATTACAATCCTATGAAGGCGATATTATGCCCATTTTACAGATGGAAAAATGGAAGCACTATGGCCACTGAGGGAATAAGAGTCTAGATCTGAACCGAGACAAGCTGGCTGCATAACTCATGCTTAGGTACTATTTTGTACTGCACTGCAACTCGGCTATTATGTTATTAGCTTAACTCACTTAAAGTTATATAGACATAATTCCATTAGTGAATAGTAAACACCTATTAGTAAGCTAACAATTGATTATAAAATTAGGAGAAGGACAAAGAGGTAAAGTGAAATGATAGGTTTTAAAAATCAGGAAACATAAAGGCTTGAAGGTAATCAAGTGGTCATCAAGCTCAGAAGCAACAAAGCCCACATAGAAGAAGCACACCAGCCTATGCAACCACGAGGTGTCGAAGGGATCAGGTATAAGGCATCATCAGAACAAAAAATCTTACCATAGTGAATGATGGGGGGAGTGCAGAGTGGAGACCCAAAGCCCATTAGTAGGCCACTGGAGATCCCCTTGCAGAGGGGTCTCGGAGAGGAGACGAGCCAGTCAGGGTGTGATGTAACAACGATGAAAAATACAACTTTCCTCTAGTTCCTAAATGTTTCCTCCCCGCTCCCAATATCATGATACGAATTCTACCTTGCAAGTCTGGCTAGACCAGAGGATGACACTGGTACAGATAGGAACTGGAAATACAGGGAATCCAGGGCGGATGAGCCTTATAGGACCAATGGTGTGAGTGGCGAAACAGGGAGGGTAGAAGGAGAGTGGATAGGAAAGAGGGAACCGATTACAAGGAACTATATGTGACCTCCTCCCTGGGGGATGGACAACAGAAAAGTGGGTGAAGGGAGACATCGTACAGGGCAAGATATGACAAAATAACAGTTTATAAACTATCAAGGGCTCATGAGGGAGTGGGGAGCGGGGAGGGAGGGAAAAATGAGGACCTAATGCCAGGGGTTTAAGTGGAGAGGAAATGTTTTGAGAATGATGAGGGTAATGAATGTACAAATGCGCTTTACACAATTGATGTGTGTATGGATTGTGATAAGAGTTGTATGAGCCCCTAATAAAATGATTAAAAATAAAAAAAATAAAAATAAAAATCAGGAAACAAGGTGAAATCAGATAAAGTCAAATATATTCATGAATCCCTTGGGCTGGGGTGCCATATGTAAGAGTGATATGTGAGGGGCTTTAAAAAGTCTCTGGGAAAATTCCATTATTTTTTAATTCCACTTTTCCATGAATTTTTTTGAAGCCCTCTTGTCTTCCTCGCACTTAAACCCAGCCCAGATTTTCTCCAGTTTCAGAACAGACCATCATTTCTTCAAATGAAAACTACATTGAGTAGATTCTTTGGATTTAGCCATTTTTTCATACAAATGCCCCACTACTTATGAATACAGACACACATCCACAGACATGCACCGCTCTGTGCCACTCAGAAGCTGCCATGCTGTCTTGTTCAGTTGTTCATTTTCAGGATACAGAGGCACCCTTGGGCTACTAACTTCAAGATCAGCAGTTCAAACTTACCACCCCTCCTCAGGAGAAAGATGAGATTACCTGCTCCTATAAAGATTTTGAGTCTCTGAACGCCCTGGGGGCAGTTCTAATCTGTCCTCCGGGGATGCTCTGAGTCAGACTGGCTTCATGACAGGGAGCTTGGTTTGGAGTAGGTTCTCAATAAATGCTGCTATAGTAAGGACTCTGATAAAAATCAATGTCATAACGCAAGGATCTTAAGTTCGGAAGACTTTTTAAAAACTTTTAGTTGAAAAATGAGTAAGCCCTAGATTTTCCATTTACTAGATTGGAAACATTAAACAAACTGTGGGACAGGCAATCTGTGACGACAGATCCATTACTTATGGCAAACCTGCTTCCACACTGCATTGGAGCTTACATTCTGAGCACTGGGCTTGCTTGCAGAAGGACAGCAGTGATAGCCCAAGATGATGTGCAGTCTTCACACAGATTAAATCTCCAGTGAATTCCTTTTGACCACTAACTAGGCCCCATTCTGCTTCTGGAGTCCGCCCTCTAACGTGATGGGTTGGTCTACCACCAATCAGGCTTTTGTGAGTTTCCTTTGCCCTCCCATGTCCTTATGAATCCTGGAATTTCCATAAACCCGCGAAGACCATTTGACGTGTCTTTGTCTTGTCTTTTCCAGGACTTAATAAGTGTTCTCCATAACTTAAATTTGAGATTTGGGGTTTCCTTTTATGCCCATAAAAATAACACCCATAAATAGATTCTTGCCCCGAAACCTCTTGAGGTCACTATCTGACTCTAAAAGTCTAAGCCTCTGTAACGCTGTTTACTCCAAATTCACAGAGCTCCTATCAACTTAAATCCAGGCTTCAAGAATCATCCTAAATCCTCCATGAAACTTTTCTTACAAATTAAAAACATACTTGCTCATTAGTCATTAACATCTCCCAATACTCATACTTCCAGTATTTTTATTTTATTATCACATGATAATTATTTTTGAATTGTTACTCAAACTAGAATTTTACTTACTATGGGCAAGAATTTTATTTTCGATAGTTAAAAGGAAATAAATTTCCAGGCATATACCACATACTTGCCTTAAAATGTACTTAATTAAACTGAATGGGAAAAACTCCTCTCTCCTAGGGGAAGGATGTGGGGAGAAATTTCTGGCCCTAATAGCTATGAATGAATAAATGTGTATCATGAGCAATAAAAAAAAAGAATAGTCCAGTGAATGTTGTATTTTTGCACATATGTTTTACAGGTGTGCGTGTGTGTATGTGTGTTTCTATTTTAAGGAATACAATCACTGTCTATGATTGCTTTGGGGGGGAGGGACAGTGCCCCCCGCCCAGCCACTCCTCCCACCTATTTGTTTCTAGTTGTTTATTTTTGTTCTAGAGGGATAAGGAGAGGTTCTTAAATAGTTTCTTATACCTGAAAAATCCAACTATCTAGATTTTCTGAAATTGCTCTAGACTTGCGTCTAGACTTGTGTAACCACAATGTGGTTGATGTGGAAGAATTTATTACCATTCTCTAACAAATAGAAGAATGGATAATGACTCTCTATAGGGTTGAGAAACAATTTTCTATCCAGAGTCTGACCTACTTCAATAAATTCAGCTGACACTGGCTATGAAATTAGTAGTTAAGTTTTTAAAACTGCTAAAGTGCCCTTAAAGCAACCCAGAAGGGCAACCCAACTGTGCCTATGGGAGCTTCACTTGGAAGGGCCAAAGGGTTCCTTCCATGGTGATTAATTCGACAAATTCATTTACATAAAACTCAGAATCACATAAGGAAAACAGGGTAATGTATATGTACAGAACTAAAATTCAGTCTCATTTTCAGAAAGATTGTCATAAGCACAACTTACAATGTTTCTTCATTAATTACAGACCTATTCAGAATTATGGTAGAATTTAAAGAACAAGTAGTTTATTTCTTAACAATATATACTAATTGCCTTTATATTAACATTTTAAACCTTTTATGAGAATAAAATTTGGCTGATATTTTACATAATTATATCTGCCTTTTACACTTTACTAGAAAGTTAGAAGACCCATTACAAATAGCAGCTGACTAAATGAGAGAAACTAACTTATTACTTAATAGAACACACAGTCATATTGAACAAAGCTTATTAAAGTATCAAAGGTGATTATGACTTTTCTCCTATAAAATACATACAGCTTTTTTTTTGAGGGGGGGTGGATTATTAAAATAAATTAACATTCCTTGGTTCAAATGTTGCTATCTGCTTTAAAATCATTGTTTACAATTTGGTCGAGTATAGGGGAGTTATAAATCTCTATAATGATTTATAAATGATCAATAAGTAAAATTAAAGTGTGATTTTTAAATTAAAATTAACAATAATATACATAGACAATTTGCCTATATCATATATGCATTT